CTCGTCACCAGCTAAAAATAATCAGATTTATGAAATGTTCCACTGTTTAGTGAGTGTTTGTCGTGTTCCGACCATAAAGGATAGTTTAAAACAACAATTAACCCCCCAGGAGCAAAAATCAGCCTTCAAACTTGAAAGGAATAATGATTTGACATTTATCACGGTATGTATCGATATCGAACAATATGAATTTTGTTTATTGTGATAACATTTTTGGCCATATCGCCCAGCTCTAACTTGAGAGCTGTTTGATTATTTCATGAGTTCAAGTGAACTGGCTAAGAGGTGAGACAAAATTGGAGCAGAGCTTACCCAGAAACCACTGCAATCTACTGGAGCAGATCTTACCCAGAAACCACTGCAATCTACACAGAACTCTTTGCCGTTTCTGATTTCAATGATTAACCTGTTAACATCTGGTCAGGTTTATTCCATTCACAAATCTGCTCAAGTGGCACTGCTACTCAAGAAACACTCTTCAGACTCCACAAACGCTCCTTTCATTTTTGTCCAAAACCCTGGAACAGACTGTCCTAGCACAGCTATCTTCACATCTTGAGAGGAACAAACTTATTCACACCAACTATCCTGAATACGAGCCAGGACACTCAACAGAAACTACTTTCTTGTCAGTCACAGAAGATCTCCCCAAAGCCAGGGAGAGCTGTATTCAGTCCTCATCCTGTATTCAGTCCTCATCTGGACCTCTCTATTACTAATAACTCCTTCACAGTGTATCCGTCATAGAGACCTTGGAGTGCTACTAAATGATAAAATTAATTTTTCATTAAGTCGATCACACTACATACCACCAGATTTGTCAGATTCCTACTTCACAACATCAGACACATAGACTCCCTCCTTGCAGCCCTTCCCTCATGAGCCATTTCTACTCTACAGAGTGTTCTGTGCCTCACAAAGTTCTAGATTGTGTTTCCTCTGCTGAGATCACACAACTGAGTTCCTGTGGAAACAAAAATCAGAGGCAAAGCTCTGTTTCTCACATTCTAGGTTTCGAAGTACTCAGTCCATCACTACCTCTGCACTTTGGTTCAGAACTGCACCACTGCACGCCAGTTTATTCCTTTGACTTCTCAACTCTTCATGTGTTCTTCCTCAAAATCAAAGCCTGCTCAAAAGGCTCGGTCTCTATGCTTTAGTGTCTTTGTCCCTTAGAGGTGAAACAAACTTCTCTCTGAACTACGCACTGCACAGTCACTCAGTTCCTTTCACCACAGTCTAAAGCCCATATGTCAAACACAAGGCCCGCGGGCCAGATCAGGCCTGCGACACAATCCTCTTCAGCTGGCAAAAGTATTTTAATTTTCTATTAACGTTTCACAATGCGCTGCACTACAGTCCCCAGCATGCGCTGCAACATTATGTGCACTCTGACTCTCCTACCCCAACAACAATCTATGGGACAGCGGTTAAACCCCAATTTTACACAATTCTACTCATATTACCTAACATACTAGCTGAATTTCAGCTGCAGTTCAAGCAATATAAACACTTAACGTTAGCACAGCAGCTCAGAAATTGAGCCCAAGTCTTAATGAACTTGCAGCAAAGAATGAATGCCAGGTGCCTAGTTCAAGCAGATAGGTATTTTGCTTCCACTATGTGTATCACACTGGATAAGAGACTATATGTCATGTAAATATCCACTTTGTCCATTCTTTATTATTACAAAACTATGACATTCAATTTGCTATGTTCAAACTGGGCTTCATGTAGTAAACTATTCCTTACTTTACTCTGTAAGTTTGCTAGTTAATAAGCTAAGAGCTGCACAGCTAGCAACAACAAAAAAGAGCAATGTACCACGATTAAACCAAAAAAAGCAGTTTATGTTTGCTTCAAAGAGTTTATGTATGCTACACTTTGGTCTGCATTACAAAGTTTGATTAGCTAGCTAATTAACCCACCGAGACTGGCCTAGCATATTGAAAAATCTATTATATGACATTTGGTGACCCCCATGACCTTAAAAAGAGCTAACAGAATATACAGTCCTGGGAACAGAGAGTCTTGGGAACATATGGCACTGGGAACGTGGGGCCCTAAAAACACAGGGCCCAGGAAACATGTCTTATGTTATGTTAGAGAACTTTCAAAGCTCTAAATTAAAAGTTGCAGTGTTCTAGGGCATTGGTTCTTTACCCCAGTCCTAACTGCATATAGGCCTAGACATAGTGGACATTTTTTAATGTTCTTTTATTGTACCTACTGTACATGTACAGTAAGTACAATAAAACTACTACCTATTGTACATTTATTGTACCTACTGTACATGATTATCATTTAAAATATCATTTAGAACAGTTTATACTTAAACGTAATCATAATATTGTAAAAAATCATTTTTTTTATCAGCACATATCTATTCGTGCCTTATGAAATCGTTGTGCCTTTCTTCAGCAGTTCCTTTTCCTCCAAACCTCATAAGAAGGTATTTATATCTTTCATCTGCTGCTTTCGATTATATGAGAGCTGCAAGCTCATGCTTACTATGTGCCATCTGTTTCTTTTTTTTACCACTCTATGCCATTAAAAAGTCCTTATTTCCAGGGCCTCACTTTCATGAGTGCCAACAGATACTCAGAGGTAAGCTGACAGACACATTAATGTTTCTTTATGTAGCACCTGAACCGTGGTCATTCAAAGTGCTTTACAAATGATGAAATACAAAGATAAGTTAAATTACTATTTAAAAAGTAACAAATTAAAGGGGAATACAAATTAAAACATGATTAAAGCATGATTAAAACCGCAGATTTTAAATAAGAAGAATCATTCAAATTAAAAATAAAAATGAAATTAGAATAATAAAGGGCTGTTACAGTGGAGAAGCACAGTAGAGCTAACGGTAATTGGTTCTACCATGTCCCTGTAAAGCTGTGTGACTTGTCAATGTGTGACTTATTCAAGTCTTTAGGGGATCTCGGTGACAATTAGCGTTAATGTGTTAATTAGTTTTAACATGTGTTTTTCTCACTTGTCCCCACCATAATGACCCATAATGTCCCCCAACAGCATTCACACAGTACTTGGCTCATTACAAATGCATGCAGATCAACTCCTACATCTGAAGTAGAACTGTCGTGAATACTCGACTAAACTCAGTTAAAAAAAAAGATTGATTTACTTTCTTTATGAACTGATTTGTTGGCAGTGTGCATGATGAGAATGCGTATTTTAAAATCATACAGATTCTTTCTTACGTCTTTTATGTACTGTGTGTAGTTTATTACTGTTCAGTTAAGTTCACTTTTTATTGTTTGTCTAAACAGCCAATCATAACTAACAGTGACAGCACTAATCTATAGCTAATTAGACAAATGCACACAGACACTTCCTTCTGTCTCATTCACACCTGGCACCCCTGGCCGTAGCTGATATTGTCATTATTCAGAGGTATTTTTAGAGGAACATCCCCTCCCGTCTCTCGGGCGCCTTGAGCTGAGCAAAGCTTTGGGTCTCACCTGTCACTGCAGTGACTGACTAGGCCTTCTGCTACTGGGCTTTTACTGCAGGGGGAAAGCCTTCAAGCCTTGGGTCTGACTCACACACCTACATTTAGCCCTGCTTACTAATGGCCATGGGCAGACACTCAAGCCAAACTCAGTCCAAACCGTCGCCTAAAACAATGACAGAGAATAGGGTTGCAAAGTCCTAGCACTGCAATTATATTGACCCATATTGCAATTTCAATGCGCAATAACTGTAAATATTCACAATGTGATGAAAACTACCATGTGTTATTCTAAATTATTTTATTGTAAAATCACTTGCATTTGTGTTTGAGTACATGAATACATTGATTCACCACAACACCCACAGAAACACTCAACTGTAATTAGTCAAGATGGTCAAAACACAGTAAAAAAACTCTGACTGGCTAGAGGCTCATTTTAATACAGCTATTTTTCTTCCATGTCATTTTTGCAAATGACAATTAACAAACAATATAATATTCAGACTTAATATAGACATTACCAAAGTTCAACTAGTTTTAACTGTAAAACTAGAGCACTGTACTTGTGTATAAAGATATTATGGCAATGATGTTTCCATTGAGCACAAATGGCACAATCACTTTACGTGACTGTCCACAAAAGGATGTTTACGTCACTGGAGAGGCACAGGTGGTGGCAAAGCATACACACGTTATTAATGACCACAAGGTATGTCAGGAGGGGTGACAGAATGGGACTGCATCATTGCCAGTGGACCAAATCCAAGTAACACTGGATGCCCACCACCTTATCTTTTTACACATGCCTATTTTTTCAGGACCCTTTAATGCCAACCTGTCAATTGAGTAGTGAGCTTTTCCTCACCAGAGAGCTGAGAACAGCAAAGTTCACCGCTTTTGCTCACAAAGACACACAGATATGCATGCATGCATACACACACACACACACACACACACACACACACACACACATCCAGAAAGATGAACAAATACGCTACAGTTACAGTTACAGTAAAAAAACAGTACCACAGTACTTCCAGGAATTATAACAGTATATTTTTCAGAACACAATAAGAACACCTTCCTCTCATGTTTAGCTCTCCATTCATGTCTAATATGATGGTCAAAATTTCAGACTAACAACATTTAAAACTATATAGGCTACAAGTAAGAAAAAATGGGTCTAAACTCTTTTTAGAGGAAACAATCAATTGCCTAATTTGAGGTCACTACTCCATTAAGGATAAAGTCAGCATCTCATACATTATAAACAACATCAGACCAACAATGGAACCTAATGGAAAATGTATTCATTGACCAGACACTCAAATTCAGAATGTGTATGCAGAATAACCTCAGCAAATTTTGCGATGTAAACTCTCTTTTCAGGGAAATCTGAATGTTACACATCTTATTCTCTCATTCAAAGACAGGTCACGCTCTCAGAAGAGTCTGAGGGGCTTCTCTACAAACTGTAACCCTTAAGTGGACTTATGCAGTACCTATTTTTGGGGTTTCTTACCCGGGAAATGGTGAGGGGCATGTTGAAATCCTTGCCTCCCTGCAAGCGGAAGCCCCATGGCGAAGGTCCGTTGAGTGTCACAGTGTAAGTACTCATTGTTCAAAAAAATGTGTGTAGCTGTTTTGTTTGGTTTGTAAGTCTTCCTCCAAATGGATGGGAAAATAGAGGTGGAGGTGTGGCAGGTGCCAAATAGCCTCTGAAAGAAGAAAATAGTGAAAAAATGGTGAGAAAGAAAAAGTAACAATAATTTTCACACAAAAAGGTAACAACCAAAAAAAAAGAAAGAAGGAAAAAAGAATAAATGATGATGAGTAAAAATCTATACCACGAGACAAACAATTTAGGCCCACCCAAGTTATGTACTTTGCGTATACCTAATGCAAAATATTGAGTGCAAAAGTTAGAAAAGAGCTGGAAAGAAGAAGAGAGTGCTTGCCTGCTCAGATGAGCTGGAGTGACAGCCTAAGAATAGCTGGCCCTCTGCAGAAAACGATAGCACTGTGGCATTGTGGGGGGGGCCCTTATACGGTGTGTAAGGGGACACCCAGAATGCCAGGCCTCCCATGATTCACACAGCTAATATAGCTTCCTCTTAGGCCAAAGGATGTTTCTAGACCACTTTGCTAGGGTGCTTCATCAACCAAAGTGGCCTACGCAGTAGCCAGTGTAGAAAATAGGCGATGTGATTAAGAATAATTGACAAAATATGATTTCTCTGTTAAAGCGAGTAGAAACAGGCCATTAATTGACATTTGAAACACATCATATTTTTGCTATATTGTGACCATTTAGTGTTTTCAACAAACCAGAGAACAAGTTTAAATGATCTCATTAGTTACTGATGAAAGCATGTGTTTCATTAAGTGCAAATTATTAGCAGTTTTGTGTCCAATAATTACTGTATTAACAAAAAGTGAAAGGATGCGTGTATGTTGTATGGAGAATATCAGCACTAATGCTATGATGGGATATGGTACGAACATGCTACAGTGGGGGGACACTGATGAAATGGCCTTTGGTCAGGCCTCCCTTTGTCTAACACACAAATAGAGTGACCTGAAGAATGGCATGGTGGGCTTCCCCCAGTAAACACACTGACCAGTGCCAGTACAGACACTACAGTTCAACCCCCATAACCCATACAATACCAAATTTTCCCCTTAATGCAGAATCGTTCAGAACAATATATCAAAGGAACGTATCGCTGTTGTCGGAAGAAAACCCTGTATCTCCTTTTTTATTGTTTTTCAGTTTTTGACATAATTTGAAAATGCTTGTTGTCCTTTACACCGCGTGTAAATTTCATGAAGAATGGTCCAAAAGAAATAGGTCTGGTTCCATTTACTTACATTAAAAGTAAAGTAGATAAGTTATCATTTTGGAGGTTTTCTTCCGACAACAGCTATACGTGTTACGTCAGCAACTAATATTCGGCAATATAAATCAGAAATTACAATATGGTTGGCAATAATTTAACATTAATTACATTTTAATTACAATAAAACAGCTTGGCAAATTAGGAGTTGGCAATACGGCAAAAATATCATACCACACTATTTAATGACATTTTCTTAAAAACTGCCACAATCATTTTTATTCAACTTTTCACAAACTGTAATGCACTAAATTCAGTTAAACAGGACTAAGAATGCTCGCTTTGTAATCATAAGTGTTCTTTATGTACTGATGATATTCACAAAAAGCTCAAAAAGCATATTCTTTATCACAATAACAAAATTTATCATGATGATAAAATATCGTAACATTGTCCTCTCAATGGAGAATGATGGTATTTTAACAACCAACCCACTGCCTTTGGCTTTTACCTTCAAAAGGTATTAATGAGATTAAATATACGAAAACCAAAAGGGCAACAAAATACAGTATTTTCTGTAAAGACACATGTAAACTCAGTAAGTCACCAAATTTGGCTTATTCATGCAAAGACAACTAAGACTAGATGACTGCCAAACAAAAAGACTAATAATACATTAAAAGTTCACTATTAATTCCCTTGAAGTGATTCCATTATTAGACCTGAAAGCAAACGGTAGTGATTTAACCAGGGTTATCAGGCTTATCTGACCCCTTTTTCTGTCCTGTTTATCAATTCTGCCTCAACTGTCTAGATGAGCTGTTAATTATCTGGCCTGAATTATTACACAAATCATAAAGGCACAAGGTAAAACAGGGTCATTTGTAAATGCCTATCTGTAAAGGCACAGCTAACATTATAAGCTCAGTAATATTTTTGCTACTCCCTCTTTAGGGAGCTGTAATAAGGTTAAGAAAGGTCCCTCAGAATTAAGCCTCTGAATGATGCCTGTTCTACTCTTTCTGCTCCCAGCAAACAGATAAGAGAGAGCAAGTGTGCCGTCACAGGGCTCAGGCTGTGATACAGAGGAAAGAGATAATCATTTAAGGCCTGTCTGTTCACCCTGCCTAATTTGGGAGACCTCCATTGAGCAGCTAAATTTAGACCACTTTGTCAATGGAAGAATGTGAAGTAACTTGATGGGAACTTGATCAAAGTGTTCTCTAATCAAAATCCCATTACAATAGGATTAGAGAGAGCAAGGCACAGTAGTAATGTGACAATGTGAAAAACATGTAGTACTTGACATCACTGTCTGCAGGGATGCTGTTAGCTTAGTTTTTACAGTGCCATAGGGCTGGCGGGCTGCACAAGGTCCGATACCACTTTACTTTACTTTAGTACACTTTAAGTAAACGTCTGCTTCTGACACACATAGCTAAGCTGAATTTTATAACCAATTCCTTCTATTGTGGTGACTTTAATGTAAGCATAATTATGTGTCAATACAATATTATGCAAAAGTCTTAGGTGGTCAAGAAAAATATTTCAAATTATTTATCTTGGCAGTCAGTGTGCTTTGCCAGTAAAACCACTATATAACATTAGAATAACTACAAATAAACATAAATACAGCAAAACTTAACACTAATTTCATTTTTTAAAAGTTATTAACATGGTTGGTTTGATGAATACAGTCAGAAGAATACATGTTTGACTTCTTGCTGCACAATATCATATACAAAATGTAGTAATGTTTGAATTAAAAAAAGACAGAAACGTAATAAAACACTGCTGGAAAATTGCTACATCAGACCTATCTGAGAACTGTCTGGACGTGGCCACATATTCTGATGAGCATGCATGACTGACATACCTCACCACTGAAGCAGAATTAAACACAACAGCATGAAGGTGGAGAAATGAGTGAAATGAGTTGTACATACACAGGTGGTGTATTTGTAGAATGTGTTCAGGACTATATAATAATGTAGCTGTGACTTAAAAAAAGGTTTCCCCTTTTCTTATTCACTTTACTGCTGGATGTCCATCCAGGGAATGCTGGCATGGCTGGCTGAATGAATGAGCATGCGAAAGAATGAATGGGCAAACAACAGGCAGGCAGGTGAGTTAGCTTGACAGCTTAATTATGCTTGCTAGGTTTGTTTTTGCTTCGTCGTTAGCTCTCGCTCTGTAAGGTTTATCTGCCTCGTAAAGAGACAGACTGTAAAAGAACACAGTTTTGCTACTTCAAGAAATTTTTATGATACATAATATGTCATGATATTTATGTTTCCAGACATCTTATGAGTTGGAACAGAGAGAAAAGAACCAGTAGTGCTACATTTAAAAAAATACTATCAAAAACTATTAATACAATGATTTTTATTCAATACTTTACATACTGTGTTGCCTTAAATCCAGTTAAACGGGACTAATTTTGCTCTTTTTATAATGAAACATGCAGTTGGTCAGTGTTCTACAAATACTGACGATAGGCATGATATGTTCAGAAAAGCATATTGTATTTTATTGTGACATAATGTATCACAACAACGACACATATTATTATATTGCCCAGCCCTAGTTTGACGGTAATGTCAAAGATACTCCTTGAGGATGTTTTTCATTATTTGGCGAGCTTTTTTTTTTTTCAAACTGCCTGCTTCTGAAGTATAATACACTGACCCTCTAATAACGTACAGAGATATTAAAAAAGTACATCAGAAACTCTAATATGCCCGTAATTCCACAACATGATATTCAGTTTCACCAGCTTTGCTACTATTTCTGTTTTATGCTAAGACTTGATAAATAATAGAATGTAGTTATATAACTCACCTAGGACTCTTTTACTGCTCTACACTTGTTTAAATGTTGCAAGTATTGATGCATTTCTGCATATCACTGCTTTCTGCTTTCCTCCCTCTCAAGCAGAACACAAGTAACTGAAGATTGAACGACTAGAATACTACCTATTATGCTAATAAGTAAACCAAATTTTTAATAATCATTCACGGCTTATGATAATAATTCATAATTCACATCAGGAATGTCACGTCATTAAACTGCGTTTATACTTACGGTTGTACAATTTCAAACCAGAAATCTGATGCAGTTTGATACCCAAAGCAGTTCTAAGGTCTATAGGAAGATTATCATGCTTATTTTAGAAGCTCATCATTTTAGCATTTTGGGAGGAAATGAAAAAAGAATGCCAGAGAAACCATAGGACTATTTCTTTAAGATGCTTACTCCAAAAACTGAAGATAGGTTTGTTTGTTATTATTTGGTTATCACCAGTTAGTCAGCAGGCGACACTGTTCTAACACATACTAATCCCTCTGAACACTAACGCAAAAGCCAGGACACACACACAGGGGGACGATCAGGGTGGACACTGCAGGGTTTCCTCTGTACTGTTTACTACACAGGCTACACTATTTACTACTTATTCTGATCAAACCTCAGGGTATGTTCACCATTAACCCCTAAAAAGACCAGTTTTATTACACACTTCTACAATCTAAGAATAGCTCAGCCAGTTTGCACTGGAGTCTCTGTAGTTACTGAATAATAAGCCTTAGTATGTGATGGGATTTTAAGGGGTTAACCAAACTTTATTTGAAAAAAATGTTCCTGGTATCTGAGACATTTGTTTAAAGGAATCTAAATAAACACATCATGTTTGTATTTATAATAAGTGGATTTGTGCCAAAGAAATAAAGCATTGAGAATTGGACTTCAGGTTAATGAACAGATGCAGATAGAGCAGTAGTTCTGTTACAATGATGCCAGGAAAATTAAAACCAGGCCTAAAAATAAAACAACTCGAGAACTCTGAGAGAGAAATGCAGATTAACAGCAACTATTTAGAGTTTTTTCTCTTTTTGAATGGTAACTGGTGTACAGCACAGTGACAGTGCAGAGCCATGCGTATGCAGAGGCACCAAACGCCAACAATGAACATAAAAATGAGCTACAAATATAACTATGAAAAAATTATATAACTCAGGCTGAGCAAGAAGATATTCAGTAGGTTTGTTTCTGTTCCAAATAAAAAAATGTAGTTATTTGCATCTGAAAACCTTCACAACTTCTCGCAATTAGTGACTCCATATAGTTCCTCAACTCATCAACATTATATCCCACTCATGGTAAACAGAGCACCTCTTCACACCACGAGATGCTCAACAAACCTCCTCCAGCAGTCACTCACTCACAGTAGCTGACCGTTACTGCACAGCTAACAAATGTTAAAATACTGGTCAGGGTAACCCTGAACTGGCCACTGTAGGTCACGACCACATACAGTTTCATAATAAAACCGTATGAGCCACTTTCAGTACACATTATAACTGAAAAACATCTAAAATGTGTAATGCTACCTAATGCTAACTGAGAGCAGGTGCATCGTCAGTGGTGTGTTAGCTCGCCGAGTGGACGTCGTGTGAACGGTGGTGTCTGTTGTACCTCAAAAGTTTCAAAAAACTACTCAAAGTAACATTACTCGTTTAACGTACACTTCATGGCTGCTGGTTTTTAGACGGTGGCGGCCCTGGAGAAGTGGAGGTCCTCTTCTTTCCTCCCTGAGGCGAGGCGAGGTGAGCGGTGTCACTCAGCGACGGCCAGCTTGATCCGATTCCCCGGAGACCGGCGGTGTGTTTTCTCCACCCGCATTCCGACAAGCCCCGCCCACCGACGACACGGATTGGCTAATAGAGCGAACTCACAAACTGTCCGCTTATTGGCTGTCGGAGGAAACACCGGACATTTTTCGCCAATCCTTCAGTAAGTAGGCGGTCCTGACGAAGGAGACGGGAGACCACCAGAGAATACCACTAGCCTATCCTGACCTGCTTGTCAGGGACGGGCAGAATTTCCGAAGTTGTATTTGTATTTGAAATACAAGTCATTTCCTCCAGATTAATGAATAACATAGATGATGATAACGATGATGACGATGATGATGATGATGATTATTGTTGTTGTTGTTATTGTTGTTGTTAATAATAATAATAATATAGTAACTTAATCTAACCCACATGCTGAAATTTTTGTTATATAAACACAACCGTGTTATTATTATTATTATTATGACGGCTATAATATTTTGCAGTTTATTTTGATAAGTGTGCATTAGGTGGATTTTGAATTTACAAGAACTACATGAACTACTGACCTATCCGCGTGCAGGAGGCGGGACTTGTCGGAAAACGGGTGTGTAAAAAAGACGGCGGGAACTTGACCTACGTAAGCATGCGTGAGGAGGGGCCACGCGCGCTCTTCATTAAGGAGAATTATTAAAGAGACAGAGTGGCACTGGCACTGAAAAGAGTGATGTTATCTCTCTGTGTGGTGATGAATGAGTTGAACATGATCTGAGCAAAATTCTGCAAAGGGGCCCTTCCTGTTTAACAACGCCTGGAAGACATTCAAAATAGTCTGTTAGAGACACCTAAAGATTATTAAAGACTAGTAAAAACAATATCAACTCATTTTTAAAAACACTTTTGACTGCCAATTAAGAACAAGGCAGTGCCCGTTTTAAAAATACAATGGTGACCACTTTTACTTCTTCATGTTTGCCATATTTTCACTGATGTTTTAGATAAAGAAGTTTTTCTCTCTGCACCTGAAATCACTTCCAGGTTCACATGTCTTGCCTTCAAGGATAATTGCTTTTAGAACATAAGCCTTACCAAATGTCAAAGCCTTGTTGCTTTCCAAATTTGCTTTGCTGTTAGGTATTTAAAATGTGAGAATGTGTTCAAATGCTGCCTAAGGAAGGTGAGAATGGTCATAATGAGTTCTGGGCTTAATGTGTCAATCTCAGTACATTTTAATGTGAAAGATATGAAACAGATGTGAAATCAGTTTTAGCTTTTGATAAAGTTCCTGGGGCCATTTTGAGGCATTCCACTGGCCTTTCCATATTGGTGTGATTCATATCGTATGGAAATGTCTAGGATTCCAGATCTAAGTGCAATGGAGAAGATACTTTGTATCTAGTTTGTTCCTGACATATAGTGGCTCCAAAAAGTATTTAGACACTCTAAAGCTGCACTTTGTAAGTTTGGCAAATTTTGGGAAATTGGCAACTTCTCTAGTGGAAATATGTAACTGAACGAAACATGTGGATGAACATTGTGTGGGCTGAGCATTGAGTGAGACTTACAGCAATGCATGAACACCACATTTTAGTAGATTTTTTTCACCTCCAGACTCAGTAGTGTGAATTCCTTCAATGTTAACAAACAAGTCTTACATAGTGCAGCTTTAACCATTGGTGAACATCGATGAAGTTATTTAGGATCTTTCATAAAAGGTTTAACAAGATGATCAAATGATATTTGTTTCAGAACTAAAAACATTGGTCCTCATTCACTGACTGTTCTGAAGAAATTTCTTCTTAAACCCACTTATGCAGTTTTCATGAATATTCTGACATTCACCAGTGTTTTCTTATTTGGGATAAGAAGGTAAGAGGACAATCTACGCACACTCAGGGGCACAAAGATGAGAACAGTTCTGTGGTTTAAGAACCCATCATGAATCTGACATAGACTTTTTCTTAGGACTTTTCTCAAGGACAAATTTAAGAACAAACTTAGGAAGATATTGGTGAATGAGGCCCAATATTAGCACAACACCAAACAGAGGGCAGAGTCTTTGTGTGGAGAAAACATGGAGAAGAATTCCAGTCAGACTGCAATAAGAATACTGTGAAGCACAAAGGTAGAAAACTCAGGGGTTTTCTTACAGTAGTGTTGGTGAGCTTATTTGTGTTGAAGGAATCATGAGCTCAGAAGTGCACAGTAGCATTTTGGATGCAAACCTGCAGAAGTCTGCCTCTCTGTAAAATGTAACAACTTAATTTATTTGCGTTTACTTTACTCATCTGTTCACTGTATATCTGGAACCCCGCCTGTGTAGTATTGAACCCAAAACTTCACCACTGTTAGCTTGAAATCTCAAACTCCTGCTAGCAAAAATTTCTCATTGCGAGTGTATTTGATAAAGAGAGGCTACTAATAAGGTAAAGGTTTACACCTTAACCCCTTAAATTCTCAGGCTTATTACATACTGAGGCTTATTATTCAGTAACTACATGGACTACAGTGCTGATTCTCTGAGCTGTTCTTAGGTTATAGAGGTGTGTAGTAAAACATTGGACCCGTTAATGGGCCCTTGCCATTTAAGGGTTAAACTTACTAGTAACATCTACTATTTCCTGTATAATCCTTAGTCACTTAGGTAAAGCTAATTAAGATCAATTAATTTGAATAAGTCCTGCAGACTGAAGACTCTTTTACCCAAAAAGCTCCCCAGCATTCTTAGCAGTTGTTCAGGTTCTAGCCAGTAGTGGCTTAAGTTGGTAAACACCAGCTCCTGAGCATTTTCTGAACAGAATGGCAAAGACACAAGAAGCGAGTTATGTTTTTGTTTTGCTTTTGTTTTAACCTTTTCTTCATTATTGTGTGAAGAAGCAGATAAGACAAGATGTAGCCATTGTATATGTAGGTGTTTGTTCATTACTGTACCAAACAATTCATTAAAAATAATGGAGTTGTTTCATAGTTAATACCATTGCATTGCACAAAGATTAATAGACCTCATTCACAAACTTTTCTTAAGAAGAAATTCCTTCTTTAAACCTGCTTCGTTTTCATGAAGATTCTGACATTCACCAGTGTTTTCTTATTTGGTATTTGTTCTTAAGTAAGAACAGAATCTAAGCACTTTTAAGAGCACAAAGGTGTGAACAATTCTGTGGTTTAACAACCCATCATGAATCTGATGTAGATCTTTTCTTAGGACTTTGCTCAAAAACAAATTTAAGAACAAACAAAGATGTTAGTGAATGAGGCCCAGTGTTTGCAGCAGGGTGCAGTTAGATGAGAGGTTAGCCTAAACAGGCTAATTCAAGTTAACCTAACTACATCACGAGTAAACAGAGCTCTAAAAAGTAAAGTGCTGCTAGCTTGGTTAAAATAATTTAAAATGACTAGGCTGTTTGAGTTAAATGGGCTGTTTGAGTTAACCTTACTTGCTATAGAAAGGTGGATCGGTGAAAAATAGACAGTACACATAACTCAAATGTAAAGTTACAGAACTCTCACTGCACTCCCTGATAGCTATGATTGCAAATTAGTATTTACACAGCAAGACACATCCTCAACATAAACATACAACGTACCCACACACATGCAAAGTACACAAATGTGCACTCATACAGTCAGCTAGAGAGAGTGGTGCTTGGATATGAGGCATATAACTGTCAATGAAGCTGAAGTTTGACATAGGAAATACAAAAAAAAACAGATAAAGTCACACCATAGTACAATAAATCACGCAGCAGATTTTAGATATTGTTTCTGTATAGAAAATACAGTGAGATATGAGATCCCGTTTGGAGTCTTTGAACCAGCGTTATCTTGAGTAGTGAGCTTATTCTGCTACAGCCAGAGCAAAACGTCTTACAGCTGCCTCTATACAGGTCCGCAGCTCTGCTGCTTTAGAGCAAATTGCTGAGCTCTGTTTGCGTGACAGGCCTAAAGTGCCATAAAAGCTGTGGATATCCTGCTAGCTTAGAAACCTCAGTTGAGATCAATGACCTCAGGCTGTTTTACAGATGCGGCCTGACCTGATAACTCCAGCAAAATATAGCCCTGAACTCGAAATATAAAACTGAAGGTTGGTGAAGGTGATGTCAGTGCTTCATTTTGCGAAGGGCTTTTCAAGAGGCTTCATGCCTTTATTGTTGACTTATGGCTATCATAAGGATTTAGAGAATGGGGCTCATGTGGCGTTCAGTTCACATTCTGGCCAGAGGAGGTCAGATCAGCTCAAGCTGTGGGTTCACCCACACCAGAGCCAGGAAATCCTGACATGTTCAACATTGAAAGAGTGAAATATGACTACAGGAGTGCAGTATAAGTCCATAGGAGGTCATTGCTGGTGATCCAGCTTTGCTGAATCCTCAATAACTGGTAGATCTAAATAGTCATTTTTAACTGGAAGATGATTGATGGCAGAATAAAACCCTATAATAAATGTCAAGTACCTTTTGGGACCAAGTATATCTCTCTTTTTCAAATACATGGTAGGTCACACATAGAGATCTGGTTGGCAGTGTTGGTAAATCCCATCTATCTTGAGCACTTCAAATGCAATGTGAATCAGACGTCATAGCACATTATCCTTCCATACCATGATGTATTTCTGCTAAAAGATGGTATCAGGGAGGGTCTCTGTGTGAGCTGAGGGGGAAGAAAAACAAGCTATTATTGGAAAATATTATTAATATTATGGTTAATAGTTTTCTCTGCCTGTTGGTGCATAGTGATGTAGCCAAATATCTGGCAAGAGGCTTTACATTTTAATAGAAGATTGAGGGAAAAACAAGAACTTTATCTTTTAAATGATATATTATAAATTTAATTGTATATTATAAATGATCAGGTCAACTTTTCGATTTCCAGGAGAAAAAAAATCGGTGTTTAGAGTCATGTTGAAAGCAGCAGAGATAGGAGGGAGGGAAAGAAGTTGATGTTTCCTCTGAATAAGCCAGTTCAGGTCTGATTGAGTTTGTCCATTCAATTGAGGCTGTCACATTGTTTTTCTTTCATTTAAAATCAATACAATCCATGCCACAGACCTGTTTCTGCTGAGATTTAAATAGAATGAGAAGCATCCTTTTGAATATACTCTTTTGTGACCTTGATTTGTAAGCCTTTGTCTTCCTCTCCAAGTCTTCAGTGATAGGCTTTCACACTTATATGAAATGTTTTTCTTTCCATGATTGAATCTGCAATTTTACACCAACCATCTACAAACATGTACATTTACTGTGTCTGGGGCTCATGTGGTCCAAATTCACAAAGAAAGACGTTCCTGCCAGTATAAAGTACAGCACAAGGTTCCATTTGATTATCTTCTGTTTAGGCTTTCAATTGTTTCAATAGTTCAGATTTTTTTAAGGTGAAAATGTTTTTTTTTGTGGATGAATAAGTTTTGGCTCAGAATTCCTGCCCTGATATCATCCAGACATGGTGACCGTGATGAAGCGGAGAGGAGGCTGAATGGATGTGGTCAGCATGACTGGTGGCAGCTGTACTTTATACTGGCAGGAACGTTTGAGGGATTCCTCTTCATTTTTTTTTTATTACAAATGAATGGACATTTGGTTTTGACTATGTTGAAACATCTGGCTTATGTGCATGTAGGATCAAAACCCAGGAACACTCAGAGAGGCTTTCTAGCTTTATTTAGAAAAATAAATAAGAACAACCACATTAATAGAACATTGATAATAAATCTACTAATCTTTTCAATGTCTTTTCGGTGCTTGATACGTATACTCATATACATATTTACTCACCATTACAGATACATACAGACAAATAAACCACACAGTACAGTTTAAACAAAGTGACAAAACTACTGATCGTTTCTTTTCCCCCATTCATTCCATTTCTGAAAGAAAACACGGGGCACTCTTAAAACGGTGCCACAAAGGGGTCTTTGTGCAATGCCATAGAATAACCATTTTTTTGTAAATGACATGTGTAAAAAAACTTTTTTAGCACCAAATAATGTAAAGGTTCTAGGAAGAACAATTTAATTGGTATTCAAAATTGGATATTGGATCTTCTATGGCATCACTCAAAAAAACCCTTTGTAAAAAAAGAAAAAAAAGGAAAAAAAAGGCAAACATCCAAAAGCAAAGCCACTCTAAGTGGTCTTCCACTATGCAAACAAATGTGGATGAAACAAACAACCAATAATTTAACAACACAGCAAAGACAACAGTAACATAACAGGTCAGCTGCAGGCTGATTTTACAGGATCATGTGCCTAATTGCATGAACACAAGAAAACCTGGGACAAGTTGAAGTCTTCCTGTTGAGCAGTGTAGTTAGGTCATGTGTCTATCGTAATTCTCAAGGCTTTTCTAATAAGGGGTGTGTTTATTTTCCCATTTTATAACTGGCCTGCCTCACAATGGTCTAGATCAGGGGTCGGCAACATGTGGCTCTTTTACTGCCCTTTTGCGGCTCCACAGCAGAATTAGGTAAATAAAATGAATCCTCCTTTGCAGAACAATAAAGCTCTGCTGATCGTTCTAACATAGTTTTAACAATAAATGGTCTTAAACGCTGGAGTTAATGTATATCTGCTAATTCACCCTTTAACCCTGAAGGTTAGACTGCTGGTCACCATAGCAATGCAGATAGCAATCTCGCCTGCTAGTGGCTAACGAAAAGACAAAGAGAAAGATTTAAGATGAACGTCGATAGTTTAGAGATGAATGGACTTACTTGCATTTATAAGTAATCAGCTGGTTTCCTGATATGTTTAATCTGTTACGAGAAACAGTCAAACACTACAAATTCACGAAGCTGAAGTCAGCCTGTCATTCATCAGCTTCTTGTTTGAATTGTCCCGTTCCACCTTAAATGGTGCAGCAGTTACATTCTGGCACCTCAGGCACCGTGGAACGGGAAAAGCTGGTGAATGAGAAGCTGACTACAGCCTCATAAAAGTCAAATGTTGAGAGACATTTTACAAGAAACTGTTTTACTTTTGCGGAAAGTTTTCCTGTTAGAGATCAAGAAAAGCAGCTATAGCTGAGCTAAAGCTTAAAGCAGAGCTTAAAGCACATATTTACAGCCAAAATGTTAAAATGGACGTAAAGTGTTATTTGTCGCCCCCAGGGTGGATTGATTTTTGTTGAAATGACAAAATGGCTCGTCTTAACATTTGGGTTGCCGACCCCTGCTGTAGGTTATAAATGTGCCATAAAGTTAATCGGAGATAAATGTCTGTTGCATAATAGTGACGTAGTAACATTGGGTTATCTGGAGATCATGTGATCATGCTCCTTTTAATAATTTGAAAATAAACTAATTTTCATTTGAAAATGAAGTAAATCTTATTTCAAAATAAACATTTGACGTTAACACAGTGTCTTGCTCCATTACTGCAGGCCTTTTGGCTTATTGTTGGATTACTGGTCTAGTCACCAATATTTACTCAAAAAATTTCAGAGCATCACGAGAAAACATCACTAATTATTACACAATAGCTAAAGTTCAAACACATGGACATTACAAAAAGCACAAATAATCAAACTTGAAATCAAATAATCAACTCCTGAAGGGAAATGACATTAAGAAAGACTGAAAAGCACAATGAAGGCTCTTTTGGCTTTCAGAAAAAAAATACTTAAATAAATATAAAAATAAAAGATTAACCGGGCGGCCGAATAGCCTACAAAATGTCTCCTTTCTCAACAGGACTAACAAAAGCTCCAAAGAAACCCTTACCTTCATCTGATGGGCAAATGTTTTCTGTCTATACATTGCTGTATGCGGGAGTTACGCCTGGCTTGGTTTGCCTGTGACTGATCACCTGATGTATGAGAAAGGAGAGCAGGCCATGGATTTTCAGCCCAGCGGGACGTCCTCACCACCCACTGAGTCACCACAGGCAAGCAGCTCTAAGCAGCTCAGCCTGACTAATAGAACAAAAAGCCTCAATTCTGTCTGCCTAGTTTCACTCCCTCTTATTAACAATGAGAGCATCCAGCAGGTGAATACAGTATACTGACCATTACAGTATCAGTAACTAACAGGACACCAGTAAGTTTCATCAGTATGACTGTTAGCTGAATAAAATGATAGGGCTCAGCAATGCAGCACATGCTGTATCTAATATTAAAATAAATTAACCTTTAACCTTTAAACCAGCATAAAATATGGCTTACTTGGACTTTGAGGACAGATATAATGAAACATATTATTGTTATGCTACACTAAAACCTCCAAATAACTTTTTTTCTGATTTAAATTTATTTACACCATTTGAAAATGCCAGCTGCTCTGACAAATGAACCAAATAATAAAATAAAATAAAAACATTAACATAAAATAAAGTTTTGCTTTCTCTTGTAAAGTTACCTCTTCAGATATACATAATTTTGTTACAACAGCAACAATATGCTGAGTCAGAATCTCTGGACTAGAAATGTGCCAAAACACTCTCCCTTTTGCACTATCAGAACATGAATGTGCCCTATAGACCACAGACTGGTCAGAGCTTTAAGCCCCAGCAGTGAGAGAGAGGCCTTAGTGAGGGAGAGAAGTCTGACTGTGAGCAGAAGCAGGTGAATCCGCAGCATTAGAATGGAGGGCTGCCCCCTGCTGGACTCCACCCGCCGCGTCTCTGGCAGAGGAGCCTGTCCCAGTGTTGCCATTGGAAATGCGAGAACGTGCATTGCGGAAGCTGGACCTCACAGAGGTCAGGAAGGGGCTGGACTCGGAGGTGATGACTATGCTGGGGATCCGGCCAATCATGCCTCTTGAAATCATGCCTCCGTCTGCGCTGTCAACGCCCTGCAGAAAGCAATGGATGTTATAGAGCACACCAAGACCTCATGTGTTGCTCACACCCACAAACTAGTCTAATATACTCTTCCATAATCAACATGAGGTCTATGATATGTGCAAATACACAGAAATATTTAGATTGGGCACCCCTGGTCAAATGACATGTTTTTTTGATTTTCTAAATGAAAATAAGTGAACACATCCTCTTCAGAGAACACACTTCTGTACATTTTAATACACGATTACATTTATTTGCTGAACTGAATATACTGGAAAAAAATAAAACCTTTCCAAAAGTTACAGAATATTTCATGTTTTATGTTTTGTTTTTTCACAATATGTAAAACTGAGCAAATAAATAGAAATAGTAGCTCTAAAATTTGCAGAAAATGGCGTATTTAAGTGTGTTCTCTGCAGAGAAAGTTATTTTTACTTAGAAATCAACAAATCATGAGTGTTTAAACTTTTGCATATGACTATATACATACAAATACATACATGCACACTGCTGTTTAACAGAGTGGAATTTCTGTATGCAAAATGTAAATGCTAATAATTTGTGTTATTTGATATACAATAATAACTTGTACAATGTAGATCCATATTACAAATGATACAAAATATATTTATGTTTTTAGATGTTTTATTTACTATTTCAAGTACTCTATGTATCATTGTTTTTGTTAAGTTACTGGGCCCAAATGTGAACAACGCTTTTAAAACATGTGCCATTCTGTTTTGTTTTTTATTGTAGCTTTATTCTTGATGCTATACTGCTTTCTCAGCTCCACACATCATTATTGACACGTCTACAATTTCTTAATTTTAGAAGCCTCCTAGTTTCCATAATAGGTTTTTTTTTTAATAATTACGGAAACCTTTGAAGCTGCACTGTTACAAATAAAGGTTCAGTCCCTGCATTTTTTGTTCATTAAAGGACAAACAATGTAAATGTACCTCAAAATTACAACAGTGGTTTTAAGGTCCAATTGTGTACCTTAAATAAATTTTTCCCAGTGTTAATGTACATATTTGTCCCTTATCATAACCTAATTTTTTAAAACAGAACAACAAAATAAAAAGCCTGGAGACGAGATGGGGTGTGTGGAGTCAACACCGCTTAGAAAATATCATTTCAATGGATTATGGTACAGTTATGTTCCCTGATTAAAGGTACTGAGATGTACCCTTCAGGGTATCACCCCTGTGACAAGAGGGGTACTGCCCCAGTGACGGTTTTATACCTTTTTTTCTGAGAGTGTGCACAGAACTCGCAGGTTAGAATCATTTTATACATTTATCTGCAGACAAAGGCACATTCACATTCCAAACTTTTGAAAGATTATGTGAATATTTAATCCTCAAAACCTTCTTTTGTATGAGGATTCGAGAGGCTACAGACGTATGAAGTTCCATCTAAAGATATTCAATCTGCTTCATTCAAAGTCAGGCATGTATGAGTGACTCTACATAGACCTTTATTGCTAATATTTCTTTGGAAGCACATATATGTTATGAAAATATATATAAACAGCTACTTTTGAGAACTTTCTCTTCAGCATTCCAGTTCTCCTCTTTTACTAATGCTCCAATAAGAGACAGTGCTTTATCAAACACATTAGACTGAAACATGCATGTGAAAACGATAACGAGAGAAAAACCAGACTGAAACGACTGGCCGTGTCACTGAATGCTAATTTGCCCTTGAATCCAGCTGTGTGTGTGTAAGGAGAACGTTCAGCCCGCAGTGCTAATAGTCGACTAAAGGCTGCAGCACCAGTCATGCTATCCGTTACCAACGGAGTGATTAGCTGGTATTGATGTTAGTGATAATTGCATCTGTAGTACTTACAGCAGGAGCAAAGACGCGGTCAGCATACGCTACAGCAGCCACCGACACATCATCCATATCACAGGACGTCTGGCAGCGTAATGAGAAAATCAAGTCACTGTTCTGCTCAGAACACTGAACTTCTCTCCCATTCTGACAGCCTGAGCTTTCCCTCTGCAGTTTCCTTATGGCATTTATAGCTTGTTTGATAATTGCTCTAAATGGTTTCCTAACAGTGAAAGTAATGCTGTGCAATGATCAGTGTCATTATTACTGTTATGGATTGGTATTATCAAGTCTGTCGTCATTGTCAGACAGCTGCTATTGGCTTCATATTTTTGAGTGGACCACTCTCAACCCAGCAGTGATAGTGATGTGTGTAAAAACCCAGCAACACTGGGGTGCCTGAAACACACACTACTAGGGTGCCACACACACTACCACATATATACATGTCAGTGTCTATACTGTGTTAAGAACAGTCCACCATGAAAATAAAATCTGCTCATCAGCAGCCCTGTAGGCAGATACAGTGGAGCTATAAGGTACAAGGTAGGTGCTACTAATAAATTGCTGCATAAATGTGTATAAATACAGGCAAACTCTAAATACAACATAAATAAAGTATACACCAATCAGGCATAACATTATGATCACCTCCTTGTTTCTACGCTCATTGTCCATTTTGTCAGCTCCACTTACTATATAGGTGCACTTTGTAGTTCTACAATTACAGACTGTGGTCCATCTGTTTCTCTGCATACTTTATTAACCCCCTTTTACCCCGTTCTTCAGTGGTTAGGACCCTCACAGAGCACGTACTATTTGGGTGGTGGATCATCTCAGCACTGCAGTAACACTGACATGGTGGTGGTGTGTTAGTCTGTGTTGCACTGGTCTGAGTGGATCAGACACAGCAATGCTGCTGGAGTTTATTATTTAATTCATTATGAATAGTCTATGTATATATATATATTTTTAAATGTAACTTAATCTAATGGCATTTTTGACCATGTATATATATAAAATATATATTGCTTTTTTCTGTAGAGATTTTGTCCCAACAATGATGATATATTAGATTACAAGTTCAGTAGCTCTGTCTACATCAAAAAGAGCTTTGTAAAGGATTTCAGAAGGACACAAGAGCCTTCTTACCACTTTGTGCATAGTCGTGTCTGTTGAAGGGAGCAGAAAATTCTGCTTTGAGTTTATTCATGGTTACCACTGAGCAAAAGATTAAGACAAAAGAATTGCAGTTGGCTGACGCTAATCTTTGGGGGAATTTGAGACTGGAGGATTTTTTTATTTCAGTCATAGAGGATTATGCCACAGAATGTGCTCAGATGATGGTTTGTCTTTCATTTGTTATGGTTTTGAGGGGAATTTCTAATTCAGATAATAATCTATATCTCTCCATTTGTTAAAAGACTTGATGGGATCAAAGCACAGTCTGCCCAGTATTTATGCTGCAGTCTGTAAGTAATTATACAGTTTGACTCAGGACTATATCACATTAGATTACTGTCAAAAAGTTTCAGAAGTGTCCTTAAGCCCTGTAGATAATACACTTCCACTGCAAAAACACCATGCAGACGTTTCTTACATAACCTACATTTGTAGCATTTATATAACAGGCCTCACACAGAAATACACCACCTAGGTGTGCACTCACCTTTTCAAAGATGCCAGAGTCGTGGTTCCTGAGTTTAGACTTGAAGCTTGATGAGCTGCTGGGTTTGAAGTCCGGGAGATCAGCTGTGTCCCTGCTGATGTCACAGGACACCTGCCGGCTGGCTGGCCTTGAGCTCATGCTGGACAGGTCAGCCTCTGTGTCTGTCCAGCCCTGTTGGGGCAAAAGCACATTCCATGAATATACAAACACAGGCTCACATACACAAAATATGTAGAGATGTCAGTTTTTACAAGTGATGGTTCAGTCTAAAATCACATTTACACAATTGTCCCTTTACTTCAAATGTGGTCGATCAACCAAGACAAAGAATTGTGCAAAGGTTTGAACAGCCTTGGTAAAATGACATGTTTTGTTGATTTATTAAGTGAAGATAAATTAACACATCCCCTCACTTCCTCTACAGAGAACGCACTTAAATATGGCATATTTCTGCAAATTTTTATTTCGGAGTTTAATATATTGGGAAAACAAAACAGTAAATATACAATGTGCCATAACTTTTGCACAAGCCACATTTCATGTTTTATCCTAATATGTAAAATTAAAGGAAATAAATAGTAATTGCGCATTTAAATGAGTAGACGTGTTCTCTGTAGAGGATGTGTTAAGTTTTGATTTTTAATTTTAATTAGAAAAGCAATAAAAAATGTAATTTGACCAGGGGCACCCAAACTTTTGCATACTATTGTATTTGGTGTCTGAATTTGGCTTTTCAGTTTTGCACTGGAACGTGGCTAAAGTAGCTAACAAGTAATGTAAGTCTATACCCCACTGATTAGCATCATGCAAATTGCAAGCCTAAATCATCACAGTCTTGCCTGAAACTGTGTTGAGTTCTTAAGTAATCTTGAGAGATGGCACTGATCTGTGATAGCAGCAGAAAATACTGATTTGGGTATTAGAGGGAAAAAGAATTAATCTGATCCAATCCTGTAACAAATCTATCCTGAAATAGCACAAACTCACATTGTGTGACATGACGTTTTTAGCTGTATGGTTCTACCTGTGTGGTAGTAGTGTTCGAGGAGTTTGAGTATGATACTCTATTTATAGATGCTCATCTTAAGTGACATGCTTCCATTAAAAACACATCATTTTAAAGCTTTGCACTTTTTAAATAAAAATGTTAGATCAGTATCGGCTGATAAAGTTTTCAATATCATTATTATTATTATTGTTGGAAGAGAAAAAGTGGCACCACGCCATCTCAAGTCATCTGAAATAAAGTTGCTTATGTGGTTTCTGACACTGTCTGACACTATTATATTATGCAAAACACAACACTGGGGTAGCACTGGCCGTTTCTGTGCTCCTTCAGCCAAATCTGAGCCGGATCCTCTCATCACCATCCTTCTCAGGATCACCTAAGGTTTAGCTCTGGCCCATTTATGGTCTCCACTGTTCTCAGCCTATTTTTTAATGTTACTGCTTTTAAAACTTTGAACATTTCTGAGTTAATTACATGAATGTCATGTTACATGTCATACAATTTCAGAAACCACATAAGCCTGTATTGAATAGTCTCAAACAGATTTGCCCATGTAGTTTCTTACATTGTGTGACTGACTCTGTATGATTTAAACATGTGGCTAAATTAGTGGCAATAAGCTTCCTTGTTAGCTGCATTAACCTCATTAGTCCAGTACAAAACTAAAGACACTTCAGACACCAAGCATGTCTATATTTAGGGTAAGGAAAATCATGTAAAATTGATTTTTGACCAAACAATAGCTTAAACATTTTTAGTCGTGGGCATATATAGTAAAATAGATTTACTCCTCAGCTCTTGACTCACACACACAGCCTGAAATGGCAGCACACTTACAGATTCACTATCGGAGGCGGAGGAGAGGCGGGATTTTCCAGTGCTGGTTCTCCGGAAGTTTCCAGAGATGTCTGAGGTCTGGCTGGTGACAGTGGAGCGGCGAGTTGACATGAAGCTACTGTGGAGGGACTGCAGCTCTCTCTGAGGAATACACAGCAGCACACGCAGACACGGAATGTACTTCGCTATAGCCAGTCTGAAACATACATACACACACACACACACACACACACACACACACACACACACGGCATACAGTGAATATAATACATATATTACTCATATAATACTAGGTTCATGTTATACAAGGTTTTCATGCATCTTCTTTGTTTCTTACACATACTTCCTAAAGAATTAAAAATGAGTGTAATAGCTATATTACTAAATTCTACAAAGAGGCACGTTGTAAGCTGTGCAAAAAAAAAGAAAAAAAACTAAAACATGAAATAAATGAAAACACTATTTCTTGACACATTAAATGACTGAATACTTAAAAACAAACAGATTAAACAGCAACAATTATAACAGTTCTGGGGTGTATTCAATTCCTATATGCCCAATATTTCATACTTACATGTATGAACACAACATATATGTACATAAATTGTATAATACATGCCTATCCCTTTATGACATATGTGCAAATATGGCCATACATCAGATTTCCACATGTGTCTAGCTGTATATCTGTCTTCAAATATCATTACTACAGTGAAGAGAAAGTAGCTACTTGGTTATCTAGATACTTTACCTCAGTTTATTGATATCGTCTGATACTGTTTGTAGTCTGACTGCATGCATTAGTGTCCATGTGTGAATGCATTCTAAATACCCAGCAAATGCAGAACAGAATACTATATAAAATGACTAACACCATTAAACTATAGTTTCTCCTCTTTTAATGGTATTTAACTTATTACGTTAAGCATGATAAACGGTAGAACTTCAATGCATACAAAGTGAATCATTTTACAGAGGAAACAGTGGATACAAAGCTACTGTAAACCTGCTGCTTCAGTACAGTAGATAGATCTCCTGGGACATACAACTGATAAAACCTTTCTGTCATATAAACATATCTCAAAGATAGAGTCATTAGAGCTTCAGAGTAGCGGCTCTTTAGGTCAGTATGTTCAGGTTCAGGTTTGTCCTGGTTTTAATAAATCACTTTGTGTGCTTGAATTAACATTCAGGTTAATTACATCAGTCAAAATGGAGTGTAAACTCTGCAGTGAGATCTCTGTACATGCGCTTCTCATAAGTGATTGATTATTACACTATTGAATGGTTCAGTAAGCTAGACTCATATTAGTGAAATTAAAAACAGAGCTTTCCTCAGGTGTTCAGAGATTAACGTGCCAAGGTGAGGTCAATGGACATATGACTTGTATTCTCTTATTATTAAGATTTTTCCAATCCCACCTGAGGACAGAGTAACCCTTAACAGTCGAGAGTTATCACTTTCATTTTGCTGTTCTGCTCAAATGCAGTTACCTAATTTATGCGATAAGTTATGCAATAAATTACATTTACATTTGATTTGTATTCTATATCACAGGATACAGTCCAGACTTTTTTTTACTTGCTTTGCTGTCAAGAAATCATAAACATGGCATAATACAAAGAATATTTTTTCTAAATGCAGAACAAGACAATATACATAACCATAACTACTATACAAAATATAAACATTAAACTTCTCCTCTTCTTCATATGCAAAAGTTTTATTTTTTTCCTATATGTTAAACTCAGCAAATAAATAGAAACTGTGCACCACTGTAGAGCATGAGTTAGTTTATTATTCACTAATGAAATCAACAAAAATGTAATTTGACCAGGGGTGTTCAAACATTTTGTATATGACTGTATGAACACAAATATCACAAATAGCTACAAGTGAGCTACAAGCGAATCGGTAATCAGTGCTGAATTACTCCATGCTTTTGTTCTTGGTGGCGACAAATGAGTTAAGCCAGAGCTGGAGGATGTTCTTCTGGTACCTGTATTTGGGGTGAGTGATGGCGTAGATGATGGGATTGTGGATGGCTGAAGCTTTGGCTATCACAGCAGGCACTGAGTTCATATAAGGCGTCAGCATGTCTGCATACCTGTGAGAGAATGCCCAGAAAAAGCCATAAAAAAACTCATCAGGGTATTCAGAGAACCTTAGGTTAGGTGTTGTGTGTAAAAGCATTAATTGGTTTAAGTCTTGAGTTCACCAACAATGTTTCCAGGCCTGATAATAGGACTTTGTCTGTAGTCTGATGCATTTGTGTGCTTGTGTAGATGTGAATGTGTGTGTAATTACCCAGCAAATGCTGTCAGGGCCACAGATGAATAGGGAGACCACGAGATGACATACAGCAGTATGACGATGAGGGCAACCTTAGCCATCTTCCACTCACTCCTCAGCCTGTGGAATCTCTTAATTGTGTCCCTGGTGTTGTTCCCATTGATCTTCTCCACATCTCTTTTACACAGAAACATCTTGTTAATTTAGGTCAAGGGCTATGTGGAGAATCCCTTTCACAATAGAAAATGAAGACGTGGTTGTGGACAGTCAAGCAATAACCTTGCAAAGACATAAATTAAAGCAGTTGTTCCAGGAGGGGTGCAGGACGACAGCCTACTCACTGGTTAGTGGTGCGAATGGCACGGAAGATGAAGAAGTAGCAGTAGATTATAACGATGAGGGGGATGAAGAAGACAAAGATGAAGAGGAGCATTGTGTAAGCTCGTACTGAGGGGGTGAAGGTCGTGTAATCCCATGTACAAGAAGTGAGGAGTCCCTCAGGAACATAGGCACCTAATAGGAGAAAAAGAGATAAACAAACAGTGAAGGGACATCGGAAAATTAACACATGAGCTTTAGGTGGAGGACAAATGCCTTGTTTTATATTCTTTGGTTGATGAAGCCTGATTTACCTTTACTGAGCAAAAACAGGGGTGTTCAAAATGACTCTTTCTAAGCAAAAGAATCCAAGCCTGACTGAAGGTGTTCTTTAAGTGTGCAACCAAAATGCTGTAATTTTATCAGCACACTTCTCTCCCCACTCCTCTCCAGTTAATAATGCTGACATACCGATCAGTGGAAACCAAGAAAAGCAGCTGTCAGAAGGGTTTAAAGAGACAGACGTCCTTCTCACGGCAGAGAAGGACACATGATTCTTGCAACAAGCTCAGCGACAGTGCTCAATGCATGAAGACAGCATGCACCGCAGGGGCCAATGCACAGCTCTCTGTCAAGTGCCCATTATCAAGCAAATAACATGTAGGCTACTGCCTTGGCTTGCAATGACAGCAGCCTGTCCCACTCCGATCAGAATCACATAGCATGCTAGGATGCAAAGCCCCCCTCACTTCTAAAAGTGCCCGTACAGTGAGGCTTCAGCCAGCTCAGCTGACATGGAGCCTCACTGCTGGCCTTTGGACGTACCTATATGTAAGGACCACCAAAAACTGAGATAACAGGCTTGGATGGAAGTGAAGCAAGATCCAAAGAGAAAAAACTGTGGAATCAGTCCATTGTGTGTCTACACATTTAGGAGCTCACATACGTGGGATATGCATGCTCAAGATTCCACAGAATAAATAGTAACATTTTCTGAGGCTACTTAACAGAATCAGTGGTAACATTACCTAATTAGGGACTTCATAATATATGCATAAGCATTCAACAATACATTTATGAAGCAACTTTACTTGAATATTTATAAATAGCTTATTCCAGTAATTGCAAGATTACATAAGATGCTTCAAAAAGTAAATGACACTGTATTGATATAAAGGCCCTTAAAGTGATGGACATACTTGTTCACTCTGAGATAGAATTAGACTTGTTTGCCACCAATGTGCAGTTTAAGGTTTTCTAAATGGTTCTTGTCTTGGACATATGGTTCTTGGGGAAAACTGAACTGGTAGAAGGGTTCTTCACATTTACACAACTCACTTACAAAAAATATTAATTCAAAGGTTCTTCCATGGCACGGCACCAAATAAACTTTTTTAGCACCTTTATTTTTAAGTGTGTACTCAAAGAACATCTGCTTTGGAAACCAATGAAGACCTTATCTGTTGGAATAGCTGCCCCAAATGCACAATCCTGGTCCTGGAGATCTATCACCCTGCAGAGATTAGCTCTAACCCTAATCTAGCACATCATATACAGGTAATTATGGCCCTCAAGAGCTTCTGAGAATTAGAGCTGGGTGTTTTGGATCTGAACTCTCCAGGGTGGTGGATCTCCAGAACCGGAATTGAGCAAACTAATCCCCCAACACTCACTCCAGCCAAAGAAGGGAGGCAGGCTCCAGCCCAGAGAGTAAGCCCAGGCGCAGGTCAGGATCAACAGGGCTCTCTTCTGGGATAGCACGCCGATGGAGGCCAGGGGCCGCGTGATGACAAAGTAGCGGTCCACGGCGATGACCATGAGGGTGATCATGGAGCAGATACCAAACAGAGCTCCACAGAATGCATACAGCTCACAGCCTGAAAAGGAGACCAAGACAGAGAGCAAACCACTGATTACAGGCTAAAACTTCGGGTCAGGAATTATACTATTGCAGTGGTTTCCAGCCCTGGTTTAGGAGTAGCTCTGTTCTGCACATCTTAGTGTTTTCCCTGTTCATTTGCAAACACTCATATTTAGTCTCGCACTTCAACTCTTCAAAGTCACAGCTTATTAGTTTAACTGTGGATACCAAATATTTTACTGGCTTAAAAGTGTTAATAACTGATTTATAACAGGACAATAAGACTACAGAACACAACTACTTTAGCTCAAGAAGGGTTAATTCGTTGAGTATTGGATCAGGTTTCTTAGAGCACGCTGTCACATGTCATTGCTATATCATTGTTGCTCTATGCAAATATTGTTGCTGTATTATGCAAAATGCACTAGTAACAGTAGAAAAATGCTGACCACTTCCTTTGCCCATTTCCTTGTTCCTGTACCCTGCTTGGTTTCCTTGTTGAAAGCAGTAAAGAAGATTATTACAAAGACTAATGTTGGCTGTATTGTGCTGATAAAGATAGAGATGATTGCACATCATTGCAAATATTGAGTTGTACTGTAGTCAGATATGGACTGTGCAGGGGTTCTAGTAGGAGTACACACCAATAGAACATAAAACATTTTATCATGGCTGAAAAGTCGCAAACAGAATAGGTGCAGAGGCACAACTCTCTGCTATTAGATTGATATCACACCACTGAGGCCGTGCTCAGTTTAGAGGGAATCTGGGTCTCAGAGAATATTATGGAAGCTTGGCCAAAATCCAAACTAACAGGCACTGCTCTTCTTGTCCGTCTTATCAGAAGATATATTATATTAACACTTCTGTGTTGTGGTGAAAAAGAAGCTATTTCTGCTTCTTCATCCCTTTAAATGGCCCAGACCTTTCAGCGGGTCCAACCTCTATTGCACACTTCTGTAATTTGAAAGACTTAGCCTTTTGGCACTGTAGTCCATGTAGCTACTGAATAATAAGCCTTTGATAATGTAGTAAACTGGGAATTTTAATATTCCTTGACCCTCTCAAACTGAGTATTTCGCCAGTGGTCTGTTCAGAGAATTTGGCGGTGGTGGCACAGAGGTGTTACAGTATGTACAGGTCCACATTGGCGAGAATGAAAGTGTTAGCGTGTGGGATCAGAGCTTTCTGTTTGTTACCATGTTTCTGTCACTGTTTAAAGGCTGCCTTTATTTTTAGATACAATGTAATTTTTTCAGAGCAAGTGCACAACCTCATTCAGAGCAGGGTTTGGATTGGTAAGCGCATATTAGTGACTGGGTTTGTCAGAGTAATGATCAAATGGCACTAATGAGTGACATAACCCTGTCCGTGTGTTTTCTTACTCAAAAATGTAATATGTGAGATAAACATAATAAAAAGCTTTTTGGCTTTGTAAGATCACATTCTTTACGTATCAAATAAAGGCAACAACAGCACTAAAAAATCTTGTTGAGCAGATCAAATGACAGAAGTAGCCAGATCATGTTAACATGATTTCTCAATGCTGTAGTGCTGTAGTGTAGGGTATGTGTTCAAAATACAGAAATTAAGTATCTGCATTCAGTCCAAGTTACAATTTGTAAAGTCATTATTCAGGAGACAGTTAACTTTTACATTTTAGCAAAGTGCTTTTAGAATACTTCTGTTAATTGAAAAATATATGTATACATATTTTTAAATCAACTAAATTTTTCTTTTTCAAAAGAAATACTGTCAATGCTTGTTCATTAACTATTTTAAAATTATACAAAGATGTACTGCAAAGAAGAACTCAAACAACTTCTTTACACAAGCACTGAAGTACATGCTAAAGCCTGAGTAGACTGATAAATCAATATGATGATCAGTTATTAATCTTAATGTTACTAAACTCTTTTGAGGAATGATGGAACTGAATCATCTGCTCAGTTGTGTATATGTTCATGAGCATTGGTGTTGTACTGGACTTGTGCATGCATTTCATGGTTACATACATACCGTTAACTGAAAATCACCTAGCTACCCACTTGCAAGACTTTGTTATTGGGATGTGGTAAACTGTTTGCTTGTTGTTTTGCCAAACTAATGTTGAGAATTTTGTAAATTCATTTAAATGATGTTGAGCAAATTATTACTGCCAACCATTTTGCCAATTCTGCCAATTAAAAACAGCCAGGAACTGTGAATTAAATACAAAAATAAAACAGCAGAGTTTTCCCATCTGTCTCAAAAATACATAAATGTATTCTGAATGCATTACTCTTTTGCATATTATAATGGAATATATAACTATTCTGCCCAACAATGGTTGCAGTTACTTTCATCTTGATATTGCAGCATCACCTAAGATAAAGATCTAGGAAACATTGTGCTTTAAAGGCGAATGCTCTTTTATTGAACAGGCAGCAAGGGAGAACTGTAGCTTAGAGGTAGCTGACACTGCCAGAAAGCAGGCAGGTCACTTCTAACCATAAACTCTCCTTCATAGTAGACAGCTAACCCACCTCACTATCCCACAATCCAGCACAGAATAGCACAACCACCATGTGAACACTTGTTAAGCTTACAACAACAACTTATCTACAACAAATGTCTCTCCCACGGCAAATGACCATGCCTCCTGCACTCCTATGGCAGTGCGGCCAGCGGTGGGACACCGCAATATGTAAATAATATCTAACAAATCCAAGATGAAATTCAAAGATTAGGATTATACTTCACACTTCAGTTGCCTTTTATTATTACCTTGATGAAAATCAATAATGAGCTCTCACTGATGTGAACTGTGTTCTAAATGTGTGTGCACACTCACTCAGAAACTACTGTAGTGCATCCAACAGTAAAGGTGACATGGTGCTTGTTTTATATAGAAAACACAATAGCACACAGAAAGCTCCAACTGCACATGCTGATTGAATTGTAATGAGTTAAATAGAACAAAGCCAATGCCTCTTAGGTAGGTATGTGGTCTTTTAAGTGAGATTAAGTGAGACACAGCTATGACACGACAATAAGATAAATAAACATTGACTTCATTCATATCTCAGTATGGCACCAAGAGAACGCAGCCGTGAGACAAAACACAGAGCTTCTGCTCTACCAAGTGGATTATGCTTTCATGCTAATACGTTCGAGGAGAGTGCATTATTTTGAACGTTGCCTAATTGATTGCTTTCAGGTGAGTCAAGCATGAGTAAGCAGCCGTAATCAGTTTAATGCTGTTCATAATTGTGCCCAGATTTCACCACATGGAATCATCACGGGAGACAGGAAGCGTGCTTCAGTACAGCGTCCTTTATCGATTCCGCTCAACGAATTTGGGTGACCTGCTTTCCTGACCATTTATTCTCAGTTGCATGAGGTTTGTACCTGATCAGCAAATGAGCTAGAGGCCAAAGATTATGATCAGAGGCACAGCAGAGTTCTAAAGCCTTTACGTGCATAGAGTGTTTGTATTTTACAGCAATACCTCAGTGCCTCCCTCACTCAAAGCCAGACCTGATGAAAGTAATTAAGATTTTTGCCCAGATAAGCACTGACATTTACAGCAGCTCAGAACATCAGGCTGAATACCAGGAGGTGCTGCATTTCAATCACCGTGTTGTGAGTGTGACTCACGCACGCTGCCGCCACACCACTGCTATGAAAGCAGAATCAAGGCCATCATAGATGGCATTAGACAGCTTTACAAGAAATCCAAAAGATCAGGAGGAAATCTGAAACGAGTGTTCTTGCCCTGACTGACTGAGCTGCAGAATGGAAATTCAAGCGAGTGATTTTTCTTAATGGAAAAATGTTTCTCATCAGAATCTGTGTGTCATATGTAATAAAATGTTTTAGCATATTTACATTTAAAGCTGAGGAGATACAGCAGATGAAACTGCACTTGTACATAGCAGTTCTAAACCAGTCCAGGTCAAACAAGGACAACCTTGCACAAGCATGACACAGACTGTTGCCTAATTAGATCCTCACTCTGCTGGAGGAAGTTCAGTAGACACAACCTTTACACCCCTCTCACCTGCTAAAGACACAGATGACCATAAATCTGCCAACCATGCCAGTGCAAGCAGCTTTACAAGTTAGGTCTACTCGACATTTTTGATTTGTTTATTGATCAGCCAAATAAACACAAAGACAAGCAGTCATTGTGTTTTAATAACAATAATATAACAATAATGTGTTAATAATAAAAATAATCATTAAAAAACAAGTAGTTTGAATATGTGCCTTTCTCAAACTGCCTGCAAAATGTTCATCATCACCTGAATGTGGTGGGTGTCTGTGGTGGGTAAACCAGTAAATTTGTTTTCGTAATTTATTAAGTTAGAAACCATCTGTCTGTTTTCATTTAGCTCCGCTATTTTTTTCTGAATATTCTCCCCAAATTAGTCATATCCAACTCCACCCACTAGTTAGAACTCCCCCAATCACACAATACCACCAGAGCTAGAAGGGCAATAACTAGCACAAGCTTCCTCCGAGACCTGCGAAGCACCATCTTTTTGAACTGCCGAGAACACAGCACCATTGAACAGCTGAAAGCTCTCGGAGAAAAATGCAAACCATCAGTTCTGTTATGGCAACTAACAGACATCTGCGCTGGCTAGCATCATGCTAGGTGATGGGGGAGTAGGTCATCCTGTCCACCCAGAGAGCGAGGCCTATGGTGCTCTCTTGGGTTTCATGGATGGCTGTGTCGTTACCAGGGATCGAACTCGCAAACGCCTGATGACAGGACACTTAGACAGTTTCACTACTCAGGAGCCCTTTAGCTGCATTACTTAAGGAATTACACAACTTACAAAGCTTTAAGCCTTTGCTTCCATTTTTTTCCATTTGATTAAAAACATGCTAAAAATGTAACAGATGTTTTTTACTTTCTGTATAAAAAGACTTCTTCGTGCAAGAACCTATGGGTGAGAAATAAGATAAAGTTCAGTGGAGAACCCTCATGGCCTTCTAGACCTTCAGAGAAGGTCTTATGCACATCTGTAATTTTCAGTTTATTTTTATTATAAGTATTGTGCCACTGTGGCTTCTTACTCCGTTTCAATGGATTGGAGTAAGAAAGAGGCTGGAGGATAAAGGAAATATGCTGGAGAAGGCTATCTGATGTCCATGGCAGCAATCAAATGTGTGAAGGTAAAAGCAGGTCAGAGGGAATGTTTGTGAGGGTGTTTGTGTGCTACCTTTCTCTCCAAAGATCCATCTCTTGTGCATGCTGGTAGTGAAGAATATAGGCGACTGGGTAGCACACATGAGGAAGTCTGCAATGGCCAGGTTTATTATAAACATGTTGGCGGGGGTCCTCAAAGTACGGCTCCTACAAACACACAGACACACTGAAACATCAGGTCGGCTGTAGAACTATCATTATTCCACCATGTAAAAAGCTGTTTTCACATTAATCCATTTCTCTGAATGCCAAATTCTGATACCAAGTGCTTAATTACCATCAAACCTCTGCTCATTTTATCTAGCTGCATATCGCATACAGTGCTGTGCAAAATCAAAGACCTCCAGCCATTTATTCAATTTCCAGTCAAAAGAGACATTAAGTACAAGTTATCCTTTCACTGTGTTAAAACAACTCAGTCCTATCAGTCTGAAAGGATACAGGTGTTGTTTATTAAGTAGCGATGGTGTGAAGATGATGAAGGAGACTCCGCTGACACCGCCTTACTTGTATAAGATGTTTATTACAAAGTAAAACAGTATCATATCAAGCACTATAAAGTACCTGAGAGAGGATCCGTGCCAATTCTAAAGTGTCCCCTCCAGAACAGAATATTCCAACTGCTTATATATGGTACTTGTTGTTGAAAAAGGAGACAGAACATATGGTCCTTTTTTAAATGATCTCATCTATTTGGAACTAAGAGAGAGAGGCCTACTCCCTATGGGGCCTTTGGACCAGGGGCCCCCCTTAACTTATACATTCCAAAACCTGCAAAAACAGAACACTTGGAACTTCAGACCTCAACTTATACTGGACGTTTTTACCTTCTTCTGTAAAAGCACTCTTCTAAACACACCTCACAGGCAAAAAAGAAGACTTGTAAATTAAACTAAGTAGCTGTTGGTGTTTTTAGAACAATGGACTGACCACCCCAGAGTCCAGACCTCAACATCACTGAATGTTTTTGGGATTACCTGGATTGTGAGAAGCAAAACGTGCAACCAACTAAGACTAAACTCTGGAGGTGTGTAAAATATCTCTGTGGATTTTTTATGAAAGCTGTAATTAAAGCAATTAAAAAATATATAAAAAAATATATATTACACTCAGTTGTTGAGGCTTCAGTGTAATTTTCTAAGTTTCCTGCTTTTTTGCTGATGTTGCAAAATGGAAAACTTAATTGCGGTGTTGATAGCAAATTCAGTGCCTGATCCTTTATCACTACCAATACCAGTATGAGTGTTGTGGTGCAATACAATCTTCAGGAGGGCACACAGAAAGAAAGAGCAGCTCCATAATGCTGACACAGTTCATGAAAGGTGATTGACATGTTTACTGTTTTTAATTATATTGAACAGATGAATTAAAATGAAATAGATTAGATTAACCCCATTCTGCAGAAGAAGGTTCAGCAGCCACTACCCTTTCACTATCCTCACCTGCTGAAGGCATAGATGACAAGGAAATTGCCAACCATTCCAGTGATGCCGATGGCCAGGATTACCGCCCCGATGGTGTAGTGAGCATGGTCAGGAACGTCCACTGTGGGAAAAGGCTGAACGGCCTGCTGCACCATGGCAACCTGCAAACACACACAGAACAATTAATGCAAGGACAAACCAACAATACTTGAAAAGCCATTGAAAGCCCATTCAAGGCCCACATTAGTGCAAATAAGGCTTTAAGCTAAAAAAGATCAGCCCATTTGGTACAAGTGAATTTTCACACATGCATAACGCACACCTTCTTCTGTGTTCTGTGTAAAGCTAGATGGAAGTCCTTTTATGGAAATCTGAGACCAACTGTGATGTTTTTCATCTTGTAGTAACAGTAGGCATATGGTTTGTGGGAGCTGATGCTGTTCCTGTGAATTATTTCCAACTTCTGCCAGCAAATAGCAGCTCACTGGCTAATTCAAGCTTGTTAATGAACAGAAGCAATGATATCCTGGCAGGGGGGCTTTAGAGATATGAAGGATTTTTGAAGGATTTTGTTCCTGGGCTTGTTTTGAGTATTAATAGAGCATTCTTGCACAAAGCACTCTTAAAGACATACATGTAAATAATGGATGTCATGCTTCTTGGTTGTAATCAGATAGTTTGCCACTGACCACTGATCTGGTAAAGAGCAAACTCAAACCATGCAGGTATGGCAGTGTTAATGACAGAACACTGTAGACAGGGTGGGGCCTTCCTGTTTATACTACTCAGAAAATGTTCCCAAAGGAAAGCAGATCATCAGCAAATCTCCCTAAAATCTGGCTAACACAGAAATAGCTCTGATGTTTGCCAGACTGACGAGACTGAAACATTCATTCATTTTAGATTAGGCATTTGTTAAACTACTTTGTACATCAATAACATAATTTTACACATATTGGTTCTTAAAGATGCAACAGAAGCTCATTTACAGTACTATGCAAAAGTTAGACACCAGCTAAAATGGCCACTAAGTACAAGTTATAGCTGTCAAGAAGCTGTTATTGTCAGGGGTGGATTTAGTGTTGCTGAGCCTCAATGCAAAAGACAGGAGCGGGCCCCTTTTTAAATTGGGTGACTCTCTGGGCTCCCGAGTGGAAATGTAAAATCATTTAATATTTTTCATTTTTAAACTGTTTTAAGAATATTATAAGACTCTTTAACTTATTTCTAGACATGTTTCACTTTTCATGTAATTTCATTATGTTAAATTCTCTCAATTTGTTGGCAAATCATTATCTTGTTTAGAAATATGAAATATGCTTGAAATAAACAAATTTATCCGCCTATCTAATAAGATAATTTGGTGAAGCAGAATTACTTCTCTCTAAATTGGATGGGATAACGTAACTTATTACTTATTAATCACATTACTACATCATAATGGATTACATTTTTGAGTAACTGCCCCAACACTGGGGCTATCTTCACTAGCATGCTGAGTATGTGCATTACTGTGTTCTGAAAAAACGGAGTTAGGTACAGGAGTGAAGCAACAAACTTTTCGCTTTACTCCCTCTTTTGTGTGTACCGGGATATATATATGTATATATATATATATATATATATATATATATACATACAGTTTATGTGTATATATACATATGTATGTATATATATACATACAGGTTATGTGTATATATACATATGTATGTATATACACGTTATATTACTAACATCAACACATAAAGGTTACTGTATAAAAGACATTTGCAAATCAAACAATGCTGCTGGTGATCTCAGCCAACTTCTAAGACTAAACTGAACTTTAGAGGTGTGGAAAAATATGCCTGCAGATTTTTCTGAAAAACTGAAAGCAAGCCTTCTGAAAAGAATTGAGGCTGTAATAAAGGCAATTTCTGTTAAACATGTTTTCTACTTTTTTCTGATGCTAAACAATCATGAACAACTTGTACTACTTGTAAAATGGCTGTTTTGGTCAGATTAACAAACAAAGGGTAGTTTCTGACTTTTGCCCAGTAGTGTACCAAGGACCTCTAGCACTATTTACAGGTGGCAAAAAAGCTAATATCTGTAATTTAGAAAAACAACACAGTTTTATACTAGCACTGCACCTGCCACACACCAAACACTCTGGAGAGCAATACACTCTGAATTCATTTGTGATGAGCACATTCGTCTCAGCCCTGCGGTGGACAGGCTTTCCAGGGTGTTTTTTTGCCTTCTGCCCAATGAGCGCTGGGATAGGCTCCAGCACCCCAGGAGGACAAGTGGCTTAGATGATGAATGAAAGAACACTCATCTCAACCAAGATCAATACCCTTTTACAGCATGTCAGTTCAGCAGCCCCTTCTATCCCCCAATTCCATCTCCACTGTACCTCCTCTTCTTTTTCTTTTTTTCATTGCCTATGGTTTGGCAATGTTCCAGGAGAAAGCAGCATAATTAGACCAGGAGGATCTGACCTGAGGTCAGTGACAGATGAGCTTTCTGTCACTTCCACAAGTGGAAGTGTCTACTTGAGCTAGACACTGAGCCTGCTGCCCCATTTAAGGTGAAATGGGAAAATTTAAACAAGAAGCTGGCGAATGAGGAGTTGACTTCAGCCTAGTAAAAAATCGAACATTGAGAGATTTTTACAAGAAACGTTTCTACTTTTGGTAAAGTTTCCTGCCAGAGATGCAAGAAAACCAGCTATAGTTGAGCAAAAGCTTAAAGCTGAGCAAAGTAAGTCTGTGTTTTCGTTTATATGATATTTGTTAATACTGAGACATATTTACAGCCAAGATGATAAAATGGACATGTTGTGGCTCCCAAGGTGGCTTGATTTTTGCTAAAAGGACAAAATGCCTCTTCTTATCATTTGGGTTGCTGACCCCTGGGTTAGGGTCATCATCTTGCAAGTAGAGGGCATAGGAACGAGGTGAGTTTGTTATGTTAGAGTAGCCAATCAAGTCACACTCATAAACTGAGCTGACATGACTGGAACACATCACAGGAGCGTTTTGAGAAGTCTGAGATGAGACAGTGTTGGATTTGATGTGACAGGAACTTCACCTGCAGTAGAGTCTGCTGAAGCATTTAGACATTAGGCAGTGTAGTGGGCATTCACTACATTCCATTAGGGACTCTGATGGACAGAACTGCTTCAAAGTACAGTCTTCCCCCTTAATTAAATATTTTATGAATACATAAACAGTAAAAAAGTTTCTTTCCACTGAATTCAATTTCTCAGCAATTTGGAATCCAGAGCTTTATGAAAAAGCGTAAAATTCCATTAGCTTCTACTGGTAAGACACCTCAAGTGAATGGTAGTGTGAGAAGGAAAGCCTGAAATATGCTTGTAATATATTTACTCATAATTCAAAACATGCTTCATTAAAATATATTCAATCAGGAGCAGTGAATAACCAGCTCCCACAAGCCAATATCTAGGCAGGCCCAGAATGTACAATTATATCTCATACATACAATGAAAAAACATATTTTTATGAAAATGCTTTTTAACTTTCTTTACCTGATGTGTTTAGAATAACTTTACAGCAAATTATCTGTTTTATTCCTACAGTACAACCCCCCCGCCCCCCCACACACACACACACACACACACACACCACCCTCTGTGTCTTGATGTGGCTTTATAGACTCATCTAAAGCAGCTAGAGGTGCTTCATGAGATGCTTTTCCAACAGGACTGAAGAAGATCCACTTACACTGAGACACAGTTGTTGCTGAAAACCACTTGTTGGGAGGCATTTCAAATATACAGTGCTGTGCAAAAGTCAGACACCATCTAAGTTGTTTAATTTACAATGGCCATTAAGTACAAGCTATCCATTTTTCAGTGTCAGGGAAAAAAGAAAACATATTTAACAGAAAATTACACAGAAGCCTCAACATCTAAACCAATGGTCTCCACCGCCACATCTTTCCAACGGCCGCTAATGCAGTGGAGGAGGAGAACGCTAATTGCCAGTTCTGTTATGTCAGCTAACAGACACCTGCGCAGGCTGGCATCATGCTGAGTAATGGGGAGAGGGAAAGCTATCCTACCCACCAAGGCGGAGTGAGGCCAACTCTGCTCTCTTGGATTCTCAGCCATGGATGGCTGTAGCATCAAACTCGTGGTCACTTGATGATAGGGCCAACTCTTAGATGGTTGCGGCACTTACAGACCTCCTCCACTGGGATATTTTTTCACATCCCCAGTCTTAGAAGCTAGTTGCATTTTCTGCCTCGCACAATCCAAATAATCCTAAACATGAGGTCTGGACTCTGGGAGGGTCATTCCATTGTTATGAGAACACCAGCACCTTCTATGTTTGATTTGCGAATTTTCTTTTGTCAGTAACAGCTTCTTGGTAGCTACACATCCTTAGAGATCCATAGTGTTGAGTTGTACAGGTGTACAGAAACACTGAACTGGGGGACAGAAACACTTGTGAACTTCTTTCAGATCTGAAGCAGTTTTGGTGGTCTACCAGTCTTTGAACTCCAGTTTTGGAAGCTCCTTATGTTTCACTTATTTTCCATTGACTTTCCCCTTATGCAAGTGAATTATTTCATATCTAATCTCCTTAGAAATATCTCCTGAAAACGAAATAATTTCATGGTCATTTTGACTGAATATCAAATAAATGAATGGTTTAGATAAAAAACGTCTGTAGGATTATGAAGAATGCATGTTCAGATAGGTGTGACTGGTAGTAAATCAAGACCACTGGAGGAATGTATCGGAAGGCCGAAACACATTGTACACTTTCACATTTAGACTTAATTGAAAATGCTGTACACAAATGTACTTAATTTGCGTTCAGGCAAAATCATGTTTATTAGGCCTTATGAAATTTTAGAACCATATGAAAATGAGTTTTCCCTGCTGTTGTGCTTTGCTGTAGTAAAAGTTTAATTTAGAGACCTTTTACTTGATGCTGCTCTGTCCTGAGGCGACGGCTTCCTGTTTCGATGCGTGAGAGAAGCCGCAGGAGATCCCAAATCAGCACAGATCACCACACTGAAACTATGTAGCAATGCCAGAGAACACGCTCTCAGGCATGACGTACACTGCCTTTACCAGTGTTATGAAGTAAACAAAGCATTGTAAGAAGTAAACACGGCATTGTACACTCCGCATCGGATAATT